ATATATATATATATGTGTGTGTACGTATATATGAGTGTATGTATGTACTATCATCTCCGTACCTGTCAGTTCCCGATTCAAAGCACTGAGTAAAGGCCGGATAACGTTATCAGAAACCAGTTGTTCGTTTTGCATATCCTCGGTGACGAATGGATACATAATTGGGCCTTCCTTCCACCGTGAAGCGCGCTCAGAGAAGTATGCCACCTCATCCAAAAATAACTTGCTAATCTGGGTGTTATTGGTCACAGGCAGGGATATAAATCATCACCAAGTCAAAGAGCTCAATACTGGACTCGTCGGCTCAAAATGAAAGAAAGCATTTCAGAGTGTAATCTGTCGTGAATGCCCTCTGCATCGCCGGTTAATCACACATTTGTTCACAACAGGGTGTAGCACGAGAATAAAACTCTACAAACAGTCAATCTATACACATTATCGACTAAGAATCGCCAATAGAACATGAGATAATACACAGCACCGCGTCACTAAAAGGCCATTGATTGCAGCGCGTAGACACACCTTGCGCTCCTCTACCATCACACAGTCCTGCATAGTCATGACCAGGTGGGGCACATTCGGAGGTGCCAGGAAGGGTCTGCCGCCGGCTTCCAGGCACGCCACATAGAACTTGGGTAAGCGATGCGTCTCCGGCACTACGATGGCACAGAAGTGGCAGAATGCGAATGTGCGTGGTTTAGCTATGGTGCGTATTCGTGTTCACAGCTGGTGATAAGCTAGAGGTCATGATATGTTCTTTTCACACATTGCACAGATCATGGAATGTTGTAATTAAATGCTCTTGCAGCGTCAGTAACGAATTAGAACGGCTATTTCAAGAATGTGGGATGCTAGGGCCAAGATACAACTTTGTTACGGATAGACAGAAAGCCTCTACAGCGCAACGAACTAACCCATATCATTGATATACTGTCGTCTGCACAATCTATGCACACGGCAGACTATCAAATCATACCAACTACATATGCTACATGTAAACATCGGACCACAACTCGACAGTTGCACCTCCGACGCCACCTACAATTATGAAGAGTTTTACGGTGCTTCCATCAATATAATTTATCTAGGCATAGAGCCATCACATACGATAATGGTACCGTCAACACCAACAGCGTACTATCGTTAAACGCCTATATTCTTCACTATACACTGCTGCATTGCAATACGTTGTACGCTAACATGCATATGCCGCCACGAACCAACTGCTGTCTAGCACTGACAGGAGAGAACCCAATTGGCCCAGCACACATACCGTTCTGTGAGGGCGTGTTAAGTAAGTCCAGAGCAGAGAAATGTAGAGTTTTGTTAGTCTCTTTATCCTGTGTTATGAAATCGTAATCGTCCCGTGCGGCGTAAATGAACAGTTTGACTACCGGTTTGCCTCCTGGTCCCAACAAAACATCGTGTGTGGGTGCGGTGTTTTGTTTTAACGGCAATCCTACTTGGAACACAAATTCTCCACTGAAGGTAACGGCGAAAGTTGGATTAGTATTGGAGGCAGAACACACAATCGGATAAGTGATTGTCGTCCGTTGGAAAACCGTAGTCATCGTCTAGAGACATGCAATCCAGGACGATGGACAAGGGAGAGCAGGGCGCCGATCAACTGTGACAGCAACCAGCTACTACATAATCAGATAACGACGAGAGGACATCCTCCCTTCAATCAGTGATATAAACTTAAATCTGCAACCATACCCGCGACCTTGCTACGATGATGGTTGATAGATTTGTCTCGGAGTACCATTCAAGATACACAACACACCCTCTACTAAAATAAACTCGTTGTACACAAACAGCTGCACGCATGCAGTGAGGCAGGACACTGGAACTGAGACAAAGCGTTGCTATACAAAGCCACTGTTTCGTGAAAACACCTTTCGCCCACGGCTATACTCCCACTAATACTAGCCCAGGCGAATATAATCTGTTCGAAATACAACAGTACAAAACGTCCCGTCATACGGAATAGGAATGCAATCCCAGTCATGGTAGACGCACAGTATACGCACACACCAGTCATCTAAGTGCCACCAGGTGAGTGCGTTGCGCTGCGACACACGAGTAGCCATATCCAAACGAACACCCAGATCGCTTTTCTCACCCGCTTCAAAGAGAGCCTCTGCTGGCCAATGCAGACCTGTGAGTGACAACGAAAACAGAACCCAACATCAGAACAAACGTATCTGCAGGGGATATCAATTCGCAATGTATGATAGTTTGTACTTTTCACAAGCTAGGTCCTGTATTCTGTCTCGAAAGGAGTGTAGGGACGATGCTATTTATACGCTTCGGCAAGCATTTGAAGCTTTTTCCAAGCAGAAGATATGGTACCGTTGCCCCATACAATGCACCCGTGCGAGACACAGAGACACAGTATTCCGAAGTGGCTAAAAAGCACGCAAGAGTACGCCAGACTACACCGGAACAGACATGTTCATATAGGAATGTCCTTCCATGGCAAATGAAGAGGAAGTGCCCAGTGAAGTTCTCGATTGACACAAGCGAATCTCTGAATCACGATATGCAGACAGTTCACAAAAATTACTACATGAACAGTCTCAGTGCTTCAAGCAGTGGAATTGAAGCCTTGTCCAGGACAGCACAAATGTATGCCATCGTGATTACCACTCAACCAAGGCCAATAGATCAGGTACAAGCACCTTCGTGAGCCATGCAGTGAGATAGGAGACTACGGACGCACAACCCATTGGTGCTAGTCCATTACGTGCAAGTAGCTCACCTCCAGGCAGCGCCCCTAAACGCACCAGATCTTCTCCTCTGTGGAACATCTGCAAGTTCAGCGGAGGTCCGTCTGGCACCAGAACTTCAGAAAACGAGTTTACTAAGCGCAGATGTGAGTTGGATAGCACGTGCATGCCTGGCCTGCCCCAGCCACCCACCATCGCTATTTTGGGCGTGGAGAAGTGGTTTTTGTCATCTTGTTGAAGGAAGTCGAGACCATCCTCGCCAACGGCGTCGAACACATCCTTGGCATGAGAGGAATCTACCAGGAACGGTACAGCTGGGAAGGGATGCGGAGATTAGACTACTCTGTGTGGAATTGACGTGTTGATAGTATACTCACATATGTACCTGTGTGCTTATGGTATACTCACATATGTACCTGTATGCTTATAGTATACTCACATATGTACCTGTATGTTTATAGTATACTCACATATGTACCTGTATGCATATAGCATGCTGGCATATGTACCTGTATGCTTATAGTATGCTGACATATGTACCTGTATGCTTATAGTATACTCACATATGTACCTGTATGCTTGTAGTAGACTCACATATGTACCTGTATGCTTATACTATACTCACATATGTACCTGTATGTTTATAGTATGCTGACGTATGTACCTGTATGTTTATAGTATACTGACATATGTACCTGTATCACATATGCACCTGTAAGCTTATAGTATGCTGACATATGTACCTGTATGTTTATAGTATACTGACATATGTACCTGTATCACATATGCACCTGTATGCTTATAGTATGCTGACATATGTTCCTGTATGTTTATAGTATACTGACATATGTACCTGTACCACATATGCACCTGTATGCTTATAGTATACTCACATATGTACCTGTGTGTTTATAGTATGCTGACATATGTACCTGTATGTTTATAGTATGCTGACATATGTACCTGTATGTTTATAGAATACTGACATATGTAAATGTATCACATATGCACCTGTATGCTTATAGTATACTCACATATGTACCTGTATGTTTATAGTATGCTGACATATGTACCTGTATGTTTATAGTATAATGACATATGTAACTGTATCACACGTGCACCTGTATGCTTATAGTATGCCCTGTATGTTTATAGTATACTGACATATGTACCTGTATCACATATGCACCTGTATGCTTAAAGTATACTCACATATGTACCTGTCTGCTTTTGAAACATAGCGGAGGAGAGACGATGCAAGATCATTCAGATTCGCGATATCCTGCTATTTTTTTGAGATTCAGTACGCTATGCTACAACAGCACAAACCCCTCAATACAATGCTTACACGGACAAATAACCCATGTATTTGTGTATTGTGAAGATTTTACTAAGGTAATTAGGAACAATTGGCTGTGTTGTAGTAGGTTGTTCAGTAACCGCTTGCTGATGACAGTTAACGCGAACTTCCAGTGAGATAGTCAAGGAATAGCACTAGTTTATAGTTGTTGAAGAAATACTGCAGCTGAAAACTGGTATACATAATTATAGACAGTCGTTTCGATCAAAAAGATTCATAACGCGAGTAGCCCGTGTTTTTGATAGGAATCAATGAACACCTATCAATTTATACATTAACTAGAGCCATTGAACACCTATCAATTTATACATAAACTACAGCCATTGAACACCTATCAGTTTATACATAACCTACAGCCATCTTGCGCAGCCAATCGATGCAAGACCCGGATGCAAGACCCGGCCTTGGAGCAATGACTATTAGTTACACTTGCTTAGGTCAGCTATGAAGTACTTTACTAGCAATTGAACATTCGTACACACATATTGGATCCTCTTTCGCAATATAAGCAACTCCATAGGGCAACAGTGCAATTCAATCAAATACCACATCATAGTATGCCGAACAGTATGAGGTCAAAAAGTCGAAGGACTCAGTCATGTCTCATTTTCTATCGAAAACTGTACACTGCGTGTTATCGAACTTCTAGGTTGTTGTAGAAATCTTATTACTCTCGGCCTGTCCATAACATAGGCGGATATGACTACACAGTCGGTCACGTGCGTTATTACTGACTACTGTGCATATCACATATATCCAGAGAAACTAAACGTATACAAGAAGTAATCGTATACTTACCATTTATCAGGTGAGTCCGCACATCGTCGTCATTCTCAGCTATCGGGATGAGCTCACACTCCCACTTGTCACTCACGCACTGATTCAACGTCTTAGAGACACCCCATGCTTCGAGTAAATCTGCTAGTTTATACGTAACACCACTCTCCTGAGTAACTTTCCGTATCACCGGTTCCGCATCTGCGCTGTCTTCGCTTACCTGTGCCATGCTTACCTCTTGTTGCCGGGGCTACCGCACGAGTTGAGCACATATATGTACCACACATAGCATAGCATAATAATAATAATATCCCCGAGCTGTGTATGTGACTTTCCGCGATCTTCTAAAAATCCTTCTTATTCACATGGATATTTTGAGCTATTTATCTGTTGGTCATCACTTTTTTCTCATCTCCGTTTATTTCAAAATAGATATATTTATTGACAGATGCACAGGATTAGGTGTTTGCGTTGTTACGGCTGTTGTTGAAAATGCCACAGATATTGAGCTCTGGCTGTTCCCGCGGGGGGTTTGTACATTATCCATTTGGCAACTTATAACCCAACTTCTCAAAAAGCTGTCCAAACAGTTAATACATTATTACAACTCTCGTAGCCATCGCCATAGTTATCATTTTGGTGTATCTCAAGACTCCTGTTGATATACTCTGGTGAGAGCAACAAATACCAATACACTCTTGTCTTGTAGTGCAGATGACCTTTCTTTCTTCCTCCATTTCTACAGGCCTTTGTGCGACCACCACACACAACCGTGCACGTCTGCCCGTCGACCTGCGTCGTAGGTAGTCATAGGTACGGTACATAACGACTTTACCTTCTTGCTTATTATAGTTGCCGCAATAGGAAAGGAGAACGAGTGATGCTCAATAACATGTCTCTCCTAAGTGTTAAAGATGACGATGCCGACAGGATTAGTGTCGACAACGACTTGGATTTCGAAATGGGCAAGCTCAATACCAGCTTTGACGAAAACGGTATGTATTCCGTTGACAAAGTTTTATACGTATCGGCATAGTAAAATATATATGCGTGTCTTTCATATTTCTACGGAAATTCAATGAGTTTTTGAATTTGGCACCAAACGATATCTACTATATGGTTAAGTAGCGATTCATTGACCGAAATTATGTAGACAAAGTACTTGATATGGGGTCATGTGCCTGTTGCGAGGCATGCTACTAGTAAGCTATCAACTTCGAACCAAATTCAGAGCATCTACATCGCTAGATGCACTCTACCTCAGTCTAGTTGAAAACATGGCTGACTCCAACCTATCATGAAATATCATTTTCATAGTAGAAGTTCCCACTGATCTCAGCAGTTTCTCACACAAACACCTGATCTCGCAACACAGAAGAGGAGGCCGATGCCATTGACTTCAGCACTGGCGGCGAGTCCAGTTCGCGTACAATCAACCTGTTTGGAGGTGTATCGTTGGTGGTGGGCCTGATGATAGGTTCTGGTATCTTTGCCTCGCCAGGCAGTATCTTGTCCGAGGTTGAATCCATAGGTGTTTCGCTAGTTGTGTGGATGATGGGTGGCTTGCTGGCTATGGCAGGTACGACTACATTGAGCGCGAGTGGTGATATGTAGAACGAAATTATTATAATTAAGTGTCGAAAGCCTACCCTTCTAAGCTCGTTTTAGTAGGGTAGCCGTCAAGCCTGACAACAGAAGCGAACAGGCCTTCAGCGTGTTTCTAATGCATCTGTCTTCTGCATGTAGCACGCCAAAATATCTAAGCAACCGTCTCTGTATCTCCTCACACAGGTGCGTTATGTTATGTTGAGCTGGGCACTTCTATTCCCAAGGGTGGGGGTGAGTACGCATACCTAGAACTGGCCTACGGTCCCTTAGCCAGCTTTCTGTTCACCTTCACAGCAGCACTCATAGCGCGCCCAGCGTCCAACTCCATAATTGCTATCGTGTGCAGGTATGTAGTGTACTTCCTGAACTAACACATACGTCTATCTGCATTATTTATACTGTGATCGAACAAATATTTTCTATGTATGTAGGTGGTTGCTTGTACGTTGATCAAACAAACAGTGCACATTTCGCGAACAGTTGCCTGTACTTTGCGTATACCTTCTGGATATGTGTATGGTGATGCGGTCATCCGCCCCCCTACATGAATGTATCTGCTCTGATAGTGTCGGGGTTGAATCATATGAGATTGCATGGCTGGATGTTGGTTCTCGCGTCATCAAGGGTGTAATCCACGTGTACGACGTTTGACCACACGAAAGTGCTCTAACTCTCTACAAGTATCACATTTGTTACCACACGATAGTGCTCTAGCTCTCCACAAGTATCGCATTTGTACACGTCCTGTCGTGGCTGCTGAAGATTGTGTGTTTATATTTAGTAAGCTACTTGCCTGTGTATACAATGTGTGTGAGTCAGCCTTCGTTCCTTGCAGTCAGGGCATATGGCGTATTAACGGCTACCCTTCGTATGTTCGAAGCACATAGCTGGATAGCTATAGAGCTCCACCACATCCTGCGCATCCTTCGTATGTTCGAAGCACATAGCTGGATAGCTATAGAGCTCCACCACATCCTGCGCATATGTGCATACTCGCAATCTATATCTCACTATACCACATATACAGTGAATACATAAGTAAAGCCATCTGGGCTGCAGATGACGGTTCGGATGTTCCTTCGGTGCTGATTGTCAAGGGCATAGCCATAGCAATACTTCTCGCCGTGTGCATACTGCAGGTATCTAGTCGCATGGGGAACGTTGTGGAATTGGTTGACATCTTCTGTTTCACTTTATAATAGACTGTCCAGTCGCATGTCATGATACTTGATTCATCTCTACTTGCACTACAGTAGTATAGATATTGCTATTGTGTTGAGTATCCTTCACTCTATATTACACTGTGCAGTTGCATACCATGTTACTCGTTTTATTTCTACTTGCACTACAGTAGTATAGA